ACATGCCTGTAATAATAGCTAATGCCTATCACTCTGCAAGTATCACCAGTAATGCATCATAAGGCATATAATTTAAAACAATGAACTTTTCTCCAGCAGTACCAGGGATTGAACATAAAGGTTTGTACATGCCAGGTAAGTGTTCTATTGTTAAATTACATATCCAGATTAAACAAACAACAACAGCCTCACTTCGGCTTCTTGCAGAGGCTGGCCTCAAACTTGTAATCCTCCTGCCTCAATCCCAAACCCCACAGGAAACTGGGATTGTAGATGTGTGCCACCACATCTGGCTCCCAAATAAACTTCTTGTACTTGTTTGTTTCTTTCTATTTCGCTGAGACAGGGTTTCTCTGAGTGGTACTGGCTGTCCTGGAACTCACTCTGTTGACCAGGTTGGCCTGGAACTCAGAGATCCACTTGCCTTTGCCTCCCAAGTACTGGCACTAAAAGCTTGTGCCACCAGGCCTGACTCAAATGAACCTAAGTACTAATTAGCAATATTCTAAGTTAGTGGAAGGGCTCCCCACCCTATACCTTTAAAATATGAAAATATGCATGCCTGTAATTCCAACACTTGAGAGGCTCAGGCAGGAGAATCACAGTGAGTTCTAAGGCAGGCTGGGCTATATAGTAAAATCGATCAAGCCTAAGATTTAGAATGAGACCCCCATCTCAAAGTGCGGGGATAAGGGAGTGTTAGCAGCAGGATAAATAATTTTAGAAAGCATGGCACTGTCACAAAGGAAACTAGATGGTAAAATTAGGCCAAGTAGCTCCTTTCAAACTGAATAAGGGGCAGACTTTTGAATTTGAATGGAAAGGCCAGTACTTTATTAGTCCTGCTAAATGGGGGAAATTTCTACAGTGCAGTCACATGCTAAAGTATTACTCCCCTGCACACATCAAGATTTTGCAGTGATCAATGGTGTCTGATGAAAAGAGATTGAGTTCTGAGAATTCAAGGCCTGGGCTTCCAGCAGACTCTATTACTCACTGCTACATGAACCTGGCGAAGCCACTTAAATTCCCTAAGCATGTAAGTACGTACAAGTAGCAGCAAAGCAATCAATGAACAATAGATGCAGTATGCAAGGGAGAGCTACAGGGATGAAACACACTGTCACCCTGGCACTTCTCAGATCTGTACAGGTCACAACCACTCAAGCATGTTTGAGATGTACTAGGATTTGAAATGAAGCAGGCAGATACAAACATTTGTTTTGCTAAATACTTTCTTGGTAGTTAGAGTAAGTTTCAGTCACTAACTCAATATACCTAAAAGTATCCTATAGAAATAGAATTATGCATATAAAATAATCTGTTTTAAATTTTTTACAGGTGCAAAAGTACTTTTTAAAAAAGTCATCTCAAAGTAGTATAGAAGGCTCAACAGAAATTAAAAAAATACTTATGCCAGGTAAAAAGACCATTGCAGTCATTCGTGTGTGTGTGTGTGTGTGTGTGTGTGTGTGTGTGTGTGTGTATATATATATATATATGAGAAAAATTGTAACCTATAGTCTTGATTTTGCATGGCCCAAATACCACACAAGGGCCACAGAGTAACAGAATGGCAACCATAATGAACTTTTATTTACACTCCAGGTTTGGGGGTTCAATCAAGGGCCTACTTATTCTTAGAAAATTAAAAAAAACCAAAACAACAAAACCCATCGAACACAGCTATGTCTTCAAAACACTTGAAATCAGCTTTACTCTAAATGTCCTCACACCAACACTGTTCCAGCAGCAATCCAAGCCCAAGAGCCACATTCATAGATTCCTATGGATAGCAGGACACTAGTCTTACAGACTGGGCCAATGTTCTACCTAAGTTCACAAAAGACACAAAAACCAACTGTTATTCTTTTTTAAAAATCTGCTTAACTCTGCTAGGCGTTGGTGGCACATACTTTTAATCCCAACACTAGAGAGGCAGAAGCAGAGGGGATCTCTGTGAATTCCAGACCAGTCTAGTCTACAGAGCGAGTTCCAGGACAGCCTCCAAACCTGTCTCAAAAAAACCCAAAAACAAAACAAAACAAAAATCTGCTTAACTCTAAGAATAATATGCCTAGGGAAAAATATTATTCCATTAGGTATCTTTGTGAAACTCTGTCAATTTCATTTTTATAGAGAAATAGTTGAAATTTCAAAGGAAACCCTACGAAAAAGATGCTAGAGAACATTCAACCTAGGGAACTTCACACAGCAAGCATTTGCTGAATGCATTGAATCCACCTGGAGAGGTGTGCCGTGGATAAAAGAGGCAGGATGTAGCAGGAAAGTGAGCACACAGAGACCACAACCCACTGCATTGGCCTACACAAAGCAGGGTCACTGTGGCAGTAAATATGGAAGGTCACAGGCCCAACAACAAAAGGATTTTAGTGTAGAGAGGCAGCATGTCACTCTACACGGAAAACAAACAGTAAAGTCCAGAAATAATCTTGGCACTGTCAGCTAGGTATCACATTAACGAAAACATTCCCAGGTAGTCTGTGCACAGGCTCCAGGCTAGGTGGATACTGTGTCTGTGAAGACAGGATGTACAAACCTGAATTTAGGAGCAAGCAGTAGATGGTGTGATCAACAGGGCTAAAAACACCAGCTCTGTCACTGATCACCAGTGTCTGCCTGGATCTGGGGACTGTAGGGATGGTCAAGAACCAAAGTGCTGCCTGTCAGTTTTCAGGGATGGACAGACTGTTGTGTAAGGAAGGACAGAACAAGATAACGGGACATCTCCAGCAGAGCTAGACAGAAGAGAGTGACCACAATCCCTAGCATACTGTGAATGAGAAGCAACAAAGCTCAGGAAAAAGTGGGGAGTGGGAAGGCAGGCTGAGATAGATCACGGGATGGCAGGGACGGCTGCGCTAGACAGTTGGACAGAGTCTGAGCGCCATCTGTAGGCTGCGCTAGACAGTTGGATAGAGTCTGAGCGCCATCTGTAGGCTGCGCTAGACAGTTGGATAGAGTCTGAGCGTCATCGGTAGGCACAAATTTTTATTGGTTTTTGAAAGAAGTAACTCAGAGAAGGGAACACAATTCCTTCTTAGATACCTGAGGAGAATAAAACAAAGGCAGAACCCTAAGAAATTAAAATGGAGTTTGAAACTGATGCTCAGGTTTGCATAGTGACTCTTTTTGCTTACAGCACATTTTATAACCTCTTGGGCTTTATTTCCCTCATCTGGACACTAAAAGAGAGGATTTCAGCAGTCTTGTAGGGAAGATTTCATGACTTAATTCATAGAAAGGAACACAGATCATAAAACAAAGTAGAACACAATAGCAATCACTAAAATCTACCTCCTCAGGCATGGCAACACACACCAATAATCCTAGCATTTAGAGGACTCAGTAGGAACATCAAGAACTTCAGTATAGCCTGAGCTACAAAGTTAGATTTGGTTTGGTTTCAAACAAACACAAACAAACAAACAGCCAACTTTTTCTTTCATGCTGGCTGGAAGTAAAATGCAGAGCTTTGACACTGACAAACTTGATGGAAAATGAGGCTCTAACATGAAGAATGAGGATATAAGAACCTTAGGGCCGAGGACCTATATAACACCCAAATGAAAACAGAGGAAGTCTGAGCTCAGTCCCGTGTCTGGGCAACTATGGGGATTGTGGCAAACTCAGTCACCAGTACTCAAGCTTGACCTGCAGCCGCCTTCCCACAGGGCATACACATTTCAGTGCCCGAATGATTAAGTAGTACTCACACCTCACCCATCTATCCTATCCTACAGACCACACCGAAGACTCAGCCCCAGAGGCTTAGGGCTGCTTCTTTCCTCTGGACTCCTACTAAGGCATGTCAGCCTTTCCCCTTGCACAACATTAAAAACTACGAGGACCTGTTGAGTGCACAGAGTCAATATTATTCCCACCACAAACTGCATAAGGAGTTGATGACACCAAGTAACCCTTCCAGAAGTGTGGATTTTTTCCTAAGTCATGGCTTAGGCTCCCAAATGATTGGCATGTCCTGGATAACATGTAGTAGCCCTGACACTGTCCAGCAAGACCAAATCCAGAACCAAGAGCTTGTCTGCACTGAGCCAGGAAGCACCTGCTGGCTCTAGGCCGTCAGAGCACTACAGGGTTGCACATGAACAGAGTGGCTCTGCCTGGAGTGTATCACAAACGCAATCACCTGTGGAGTAAGGGGTTGTGGGATGTTTGCAGACAAGGGTAAGAACAAACAGGTACATTAGGCAAAAGTACAAAATTAAACTTCAAGAGAAACTGACTACAGACAGACAGACAGGAACTGAGTCTCATCTGTCACATATTGAACACACCACAGGTATTATTTTAGAACCATACTCTCTATGTTCACAGGCATAGTGGAGAACAGACAGCATGTGGTAACATACACATATGTGGACATTATGTGCATGTATGACAGTAGGGTATATGTATGTCAAGATACACAGCAGAGGCCCTAGGAGTGCCTTTTTCTGCCCCTCCCTAAAACTTTTCTCTCCTCCATGTTTTTAGATCAGGGAGGAAAGGTCACATATACTCTGAAAACATAACAAAAAAGTCACCACACCAACAAATAGTGAAGATACTGCTTATGTAGTGCTCTAACTGTATTAAATAACCATTATATTAACTGAAAGTCGAAAACCATTTTTAAAAAAAAATCACAAATTTTGAACTTCAAACATACAATACAAATTATATCTGTTAAGTCCTGCTGAACTGTAAAGATTAATTATAGTAACAATTTCAAAAGTTAAGGCTTTTCACTCTAAACACAACATGGCATCAAAACAATCTGAAGCCCTACATAACCTGTGACATGGTATCATCACATGCGACATCTACATCGACAATAAAGTCTACATGGACGGCTACTCCAGGACAGGAAAGCCACACGGGTGCTTTATGTTCTAAGCGGTGAACTGAACACGAGTGTCATCTGTCCCGTCCTCCCTGCAGCTGTCTCTTCCAGGTCTCTGCCCGAGGATCCTTACCTGACACAGAGACAGCATGTGTCCGCATGCCTTGCTTTTCACTGTTGGCCAACCTGCAACGGAGCAGACAAAGTGTAAGTGTTGTCCTTCCCAGGACCAAAACACCTGTCCTTGTCACACGGGCAACTGCATCTCCCTCAGGCTAGGAAGGCCACCCCATCCTCCAGAGATTAAGAACTAGATGGGTGGTTTGTTTTTTTAATTGGAGTCTCCTTTTTAAGATACTGAGTATAGACAGTCTGAGTCAATACTTTTAAGAGCAGAAATTAAAACAGACAACTGGGGTAGGGATGTAGCTCAATGACATAGCATTTGTTTAACACACCTGAGGCTCCGGGATTCATCCCCAGCATCACAAAAAAGTAAATTAATTAATCAATCAATCTAAAAAACCAAAACAAAAGAGAAAAGGCCACAGAAGTGCCTGGAGAAAGCTGTTCACAAAGGTGACATAGAGCTATATAATTCTATGTAATATGTAATGTAAAGGCTATGTAAGTTTTCCTGCTTAAAATGCTAGATTATAAAGAGCTACCCCAAAGTTAAAAAGAACCACCATGCAACTAGATCTGAATTATACTCTCTAAAACCTAAACTGAGGGTCAGGAAGATAGTTCAGAAGATAAAGGTTCTTGCCACCAAGCCTGATGATCTGAGTTTTCTCCCTGGGACCCACATGGTGGGAGGACAGAATGGATTCTTACAAGTTGTCCTCTGATTGACACAAGTGCACCAGGGCTATGTATGCTCAGATGTGTGTGCGTGTGTGTGCGCGCACACACGCACACACACAATAATGAATGTAAAAAATAAAAATTAATTTAAAACATAGTAGCATTTTGACCTCTTGAAATTTACAGCATATAAAAAATTATGACAGACACTCTAAGAAAGCACAAGATATTGCCCCAAAGAGACACACTATGTAGACTCTGAAGCTCACTGTCCCAAGCTGAGCAAAAACTGCTTATCTAGTTCCTGCTCACCCCCACAATTATGACTTTATAGGATGCAGCCATCAGAGAGCTGACTGCCAGGAGAATGAGGACAAGCCACGAGACTATTTTCCAAAGTGAGGTTACATGCTGATCAGATGTTAGAGGGAAATGCAATGGCATGTCCTCCTGGCGCAGAGGCCTATGTTTCCAAAAGTGATGTAGAAGAGAGCTGGAAGGTGAATAGGGCTGAGGCAAGGAATGAGGGTGTCATGCAGGGGGACACTGAGAAAGGCCAGAAAGGGAACTGGGGGTCATCTGGTAGAGAAACTGAGTAAGTACAACTTAGCAGAAGGGAATGTGAGGAATAGTAAAACTAAGGCTAGGCATCAGCAATTCAGGTAGGCTCTGGAAGGCCACGTGTCAGAAAAGAGCTTTATTTGGGGTACTCTGACGAGGGGCTGAAGCAGGCAGGAGGGCTCAGTACATGTATGGGCCAGAGCTGACAGGACTCTGCCTAGACCATTTTCTTTTTTCCATCGCAAGTCATACTTTTCTGACTCCAACACAACTCTGGGTCTGAGAGGGCTTGGGGTCCTAGCACAGCACTGACTGGGATGAGCATGCTAGGTAGTGCTAATTGTGAGGGACAGGAGAGGAGTGCTAGGAAGAAGGGGAGGCAGAGGGCGTGGCTACAGAGAAGAGGGCACAAGACAGAACAAAGACAAGCCCAGATTTAACCCTCCTTGTCCTAGGCTTCCACGTCTCCACCGCTTAAGCATCTGAGAATTAACAGCTTCTACCTAGCAGTTGCCTATTTGTATAAATGATGAGAATTTTTTTTTTAAACCTTCATGCCTTGGCCCCAGTTCCTAGCATGTTAAGAATTCAAAAGTAACAACGTAATTTTTTTGCATTGATATTTGATTTATTTGATCAACATACCTCTTATGAAATTTGTAACGAACAGCAAGCCACCGACTACTTTTTTCATTTTCCTAATTATGAAAGAGGGTAATACCTATTTCCATGTTTCTAAAAAGGTGATGACACCATGAAGTGAATGGCTAAGCCTAATTATTATAACCATCTTTAGGTTCCTTATTAAACTTGAAATAAGGGGAAAATAATTTTAAAACTTCTTGATTAAATATACATTCCATACATAACTTACAACTAACTTACTTAATTTATGTTTGGAAATTATGCTTTCTAGGTCCTTACATATATATAGAAATTTAATTTTTCAGGAAAACACAATAAAGCTTAATGACTTTTTTAAAAAATTTCGAACAAAACCAAGTAAGGAAACAAACAAATGAGAACTTACTTTGGTATTGATGGCAGTGCCCGTTCACCTTCTGGAAAGAAAAAGGAAAGACATGAGTGTTGTCTTAGAAGAGAGTATGCAGCTAAGTCCAGGAAGGAGGAGCCTTATTCTGGCTGTTCCGCCAAGCCATCACATTGATTACATTTTAGCTTTTTATGGATTTCCACCAAAACTCACAACAAATGTAACTGACTATTGGGTTCACATTGTTTAAGGATATGCCAAGTCCGGATGAAGAGTTCTGACAAGCTGATAGACTAAGGAACTTTTAAACTCTAGGTGCCCTGCCAAAAGCCCCAACATTCTGCTTTGATAAAATGGTTTACTAGTAACACTTGGAATCTAAGCAGCAAGTACAATGTGTATAGCTGCAGAGGAAATCAGAGATGAGAAGGGAAGACCCTACAGCAGTGGAAAACACATTTCCAGTGGTCTTAGAAACTCACAACCATACATTTATTTTCACTGCTACTTCACAAGTATAATTTTGCTACTGAGCAGTCTTAGCTACTAAGACCATTAGAATTTTGTCTTCCAATGGTCAGTACCCACAGGTTGAGAACCACTATTCTATAGGACACCAGAAAATATCATGTCCACATGGCCAGTTGAGACCCTCCCATCTATCCACACTAAATATCTAGCTCCCATGAGTGTCACGGTCCTCTTAAAAGATGCTCTGCCTCCAGTGGAAACTTTTCCTTATGATCCCTTACAGGATCCTTCCTGGGAACCCTGCACTTTGCTTGGCCATCTTAGTCTCTGAGCTCCTCAGAGCACACTGCCACACTACTCACCCTTCCCTGACCACCACTAGGGTATCTGGCCCTGAGGCAGCTCTCACAGGACTGTATGGTAACTAGCCTGAGGTCTATAGATTAAACTTAGTCCATGGCAAGCCACAGGGCATACTGGAAGAGCTAGCATGCCTCCAAAGCTCAGGCTCTCCCTGCATTCCACTGATACACTTGGATCATTTTCAGAGACTGCTTCAGAAACCCATAAGCTCAGGACACCGTATTCCTTTGCAACTATACTTAGAAAGCTCTCCTTCATTCTGAGGTGATAGGGCCTCACTTCTAGGACATTTTTATTCACTCAAACTTTTGATTTCATACCTTGACATGGAATTTATTTTCTTTTTCACCTATTCTAAGCTTTTCAAATGTGCAAGAAAACAAACAAACAAACAAAAAACAAACCCACAATCAAAACTTCAACACAAATTATAAGGGACACTTGAAAAAGAACTGGGAAGACAATCTCCAGAGCTGAAAGAACCAATGGTAACCCAGGAGCTACTCCTAAGGGTTACTCAAAGCCCTATACTGTCTCCGTGCACTCCAGCTGAGCTTCAAGTCTGCCGGCTACGAATTGTCCCTAGAAAAACAAGCATCCAGGCCACACACTCCTCTGGCTTTCACATTTGCCGTGAGAACCTGGCTGCTGGGGTGAGTGTGTCTACCAGTGAAGCAGGGGTGAACCTCACCTTTCTGTGGTCTGATGATGAAGGATTGTGTGGCTCCATTTACCAGCCGGCAGTATCCGTCGATCAGGTCAGCCATGTTCTCTGCAATGGTTAGGGATGGTGCCGTCACTGTCAGAGGCTAACGGGAAAATACAAGAAAGAGACATTATTGTTCTTTGCAGTAATCAAAGGGACAGCTGCACTATGACAGCACAACTCTGCATACACTTGAATACAAAGGAGTAGGAATGAAAACATTTGCTAGAATTAAGTGAAAAAAGAAGTTTGAGATTTAAGGACATCATTCCTGGGATTTGTGACAGAAGACACACTCATCGCATAACATAAAACGTACTGAAATGGAGGCTCACTTTTACAAAAGGAAGCAAGAAAAAATTTTTTTCTTTCTTTTTTTTTTTTTTCAGAATGGCTGGCCCCTTGGGTGTCCTCTAAGAATTCAGATAACAAGCTGAAGCACAATTTATTCCAGAGACTACTATATAATAAACCTTTATCAACCATATTTTCACTTTCTGTCAGAGGAAATTGGTGAAGTTTCATCTTTCTACATTCACAGCATGTTTGCCCAGAGGCTTAAAAACCATTTTCACACAAGGCAGGCTGTACTGGATAAACTGTCTAAAGACCTATTTCTAAGTGTTATCTGAAGACAACAAAAGCTGTATTTTATTTTCATATCCAAGTGTGTCCTGGTTCACATGGCTGTTCACACTCATTCCACATAAATGACTTATTGGGAAAGCAGCCTAAGTGGTGCACTGGGATCTCTGCAGGAAACGTGACACACGCTGTCTACACTCCATGCTAGGATTTGCTAATCTGATAAACAATGTCTAGATGTGAACTTCAGACACTAGTGACTTGGGATCGCACGGCAGAACACTGGTGAAATGGCCTAGTGAGGAGAATTGAGACACAGGCAGAGTTGAGAACGCAACAGTTCCAACTGCTTCTCAGTCTGCTCAGTCTGGAGCCCAGAGTCTTGTGTAGCTAAACAGTTCTTTCTTATACCACTTACTACTTTGTTTCTGCTTTTTTCCCTTTCTTCTTTATTAATGTCTTGAGATAGGGTGTTGCTATGTGCTCCATGCTGAGGGCTGTCCTGGATTCCAGAGGCTTAGGGTTACAGCAGTGAGCCACTATGCCCTGCCTGCCTGTCTTTTAATCACACTGCTGCAGGCAGGTGCTATTGTCACAAGGACTGCCTAGAGAATCTTCCAGCACTGTCCAGGACCAGCAGCACACTCAATCACCCAATTCTAACTCACTTCACAGCGGTCTCTGATTACATTCATAGCAATATTCCTGATTTTTAAAATCTACAACTCTACTATCTTATTAAAATCCTTATACATGAGGAAATTGTGAGTCTGGTTACTCATAAACACTTCATCCTTACCCCAGAAGTCATTTCTACACTTCTCCATAGATCAGCTGTTTTTTTAAATTAAAAATAATAAGTTTCTTCAGACAATATGTACTGATCATGATTTTCCCCTCCTCCAAGCCCTCCCACATCCTCTCCACCTCTCTACCCATCCCCTTACCTCAGGGGCACCAGCAATTTTGAGTTGTAGCATTCCTTTCCTGTCCTTGTCTTCACTATTTGAATACTGAATGGTCTGTACTTGGTTGAAGTCTGCTAGGTGTGTAGGCTTTGGGAAGGAAAAGTAAAACTCTTAGGTCATAGAAGAAGCCTCAATGCTTGGTGTCCGCTATTATGTGATTTTTTTTTTTTTTTCCTCCCTTCTGGACCCCATCACCAGCCTCTTCTCAAGCCAGACTTCCCAAGCCAGGGACACTCTCTTCTGATGAACAATCATGCAGTGGCCCTGTGGGCTTCCTTCCAGATTTAGTCATGCCTGACTATGGTAACATCTCAAGGAGACCCAGACAAATGAGGGGTAAGAGAAAACTCAGCTTCCACAGAAATGAAGAGAGCTGAGTGAACTATTGCTATAAACTTGATGGAATTCTCAATGGGAGCAGATATTTAAATAATTGAAAACATTTATACCAGTTAAAAATATAGTAAGCATTTACAAAACCATGCAGCACTTTTATGGAATTGGTGGCTTGTTAACAACACATGCATTTACATAATCTACAACAGGAGCTATGAGCAGAGGATGAAGAAGGGGCTACAAGGTCCTTAACATGACAACAGGAGCTACTCACAATGAAATCTAGGGCTTTTTGTTTGTTTGTTTGGTTGGTGTGTTTGTAGACAAGGTATCATCATGGAGCCCAAGCTGGCCTAGAACTCCCTCTAAGAGCCCAACTTGGCCTAGAACTAACAGTCTTTATACCTGATTTCATTTTCCAAGTGCTAGTATTTTAGAAATAATATGCCTTCCCAGTAAGAATTCAGTCCACATACTCAGGAAAAATAAGGAAATGTTCTTGAATAATAATACACATCTGGTTCTGGCTAATGCCCAAAGGGAAAGTGGTCTTAAGTAGAAAAATTTACCAGCTCATACAAGCCTTAGGCTTATGCATTCCACATATGCCATCATCCTTAAAAGTTTCTCAGGTCACAGCACCAAGTTACACTTTGAACAATTGAAAGAGACAGGAGGGTGTGAGAGCAGAACTGGCCCTGCTCCTTGCTATCTGCTACACTGGGCAATGCTAGAGAGCTTTCCTGGGGGGAGGGGGTAGTGATGACGGACAGCTAGCAAGCTGACCAACCAAGCTACTACCCAGGCCCAGAACCAGGACTTTGAGGTAGCCCTCCCCAACACCCACCTATGAACTCCTAGAGTATGCTAAGGGGCCGGACCTGCAGATCCAAAACGACAAGGTCTCAATGACACAAGGCAACAACAGGATATCCAAGAAGAGTCCCAGTGAGGGCCCAGCATCGAGTGACCAGCAGAAGCCAGAAGCAAGGATTACTTACAAAGAAAGACACATGGACTAGAGGGTTCACCACACTACAACTTCCATGCTGAGATCTTTAAAATTTGCTTGTTTTGGTTTTACTTTTAAATTTTGTTTTGGAGGAAGGTTGCAAGGGCAGGGGGTAGACGTGAGGGGATGGGAAGATGAGTGGAATAGGGATCCATGATGTGAAGTCCACAAAGAATCAATAGGAAAGTTATGAATGAATCCATGAATCAAAACAAAAACAAAACAAATGAAATGGGCAAAATGACAAGAACTATAAAAACGGTGGAATCGGGATGTAGGAAAACTACATGCCCACAATGACAGAAGTTTCCCAGCCTTTCTTAAAAGCAACCTGGCAAGTTCTTTTCAAGTTAAAAAAAGATTCTATTGGAATCTCTTAAAATACATGCAAACGCACATTTCTTCTGGGCTCTGAGGAGATGGTTCAGTGGCTAAGACTGCTTGCTGTGTAAGCATGACGACCTGACCTCAAAGCCCCAACACCCATGGAAAGAAAAGGCCAGGCATAGCCAGGCATGCCTGTGACCTCAAGAGTTGAGGAGGAGGGGTGTATAAGGCGGAGAGTGCATAGGCCAGTCAGCCTAACCAACGAGATTCAGGTTCAGTAAAGAGACCTTGTCTAGAGGGATTAAGGAGGAAAGTGACAGAGGAAGATGGCTTTCTCTGCCCTCTGCATGCAAACACATGGGCCCATGTACCTACCTACTGACATGCAAAAATGAATAAACGAACAAAAAAAGAATACTTATTTCAACACAGTCTTGGGGCAGAATCAGAAGTTCAGTGATTGAGACATTCCCAGGTGGCCATCATTGCCAGGTGGACCGGAAAGCAGGCTCACAGGCAAGACACACAAAAGCCAAGATGTGCTTGCTATGACCCATTTCCATCCAATAGACAAGAACAGTTGCTGTCACTTAAATGTATATGGGCACAGAGGAACCAGAAGATGCTAATGAGAAAGGGCAGATCCACAGCAGAGTGGAAATGGACAGCAAGGAGTACATGTGCAAAGTCAGACGCAAACCTGTGATCAGAGACCCGTCCCAGTGAAAAGGCACACCTGCTAGTATAAGCCCGAGAGGAAAGCCTCAGAGCCAGACTGCCTGACCGTCTGTCCACACAGGTTCACATCCTCAATACCACAACCCTGGCAGGCCTTGCAACTTGTAGCCATCATCATATAACACAGATTCCAGACATATTTTCCATGCATGCCTAACTATGAACTCCATCAAAGGGCTGCAGCCTGTTTGACCTTTGCAATTCCTGGCCAGCACCTGGCACAAGCAGGTGCTTAGCAGCATTTGCTGAATACCAGCCAAACAGGGTCACACAAGAGTGAGATAAACTGAGCATCTCTCTCCACTATTTTTCCACAATGAGGTAGTAAAGGCAACAAGAAAGTCAGAATTTAAAATTAAGGTATGTTTTCCTGGAATTAACTCATCATTTAAAGAGTAGGATGTCAGTACAAATATACTAAAATCACATCCAGAAGTTAGTCACAAGGCCTTACAAGGCTAGGTGGAAGGGCCCATCCATTGTCACTCACCACCTAATTTGTCTCATTCCTTTCCCTTCCAGGCTAAGGAATTCCAAAGGCAATAAACGTAAGTTTGCCTCTCACACCCCACCTGAGTAAGAAGACCATGCAATGAGTAAGTTTCTGTGCAGAACAGTCTTTCATTGGCATGCCCTATCCAGTCCTTAACATCATTCCTCTGTGGCCACAACCAATTCCATGAGTTCTCCCAGGAGCAGACTTACATTGCAGCCCTTGTCTGTCAGGTAGCTGATCCCTTCTTCTGGGCCAATCGCCAGTTCCACTGAAATAATCCAACTTGACTTTGGAAGATCAAACAGGTAGGAACAGAGGTGTCAGAAGGAAAAAAATTATTTTAGATCTGGAGCCATGAATATATCAAAGGACTTAGGTTGGGAGAGGAGCTGGATTATTGTTAATCTATCTAACCAAATAAGATAAAATATTTATAACTTTATTGACACAAGATCTGGTGGATGTGGACAAGACTAAATGTGATCAGTCTTATATCTGGGAAGCCACTTTTTTTTTTCTCTAGAAAGATTATCTCAACAGGCAAACTTGCCCTTGGAGAACAGCTAATCAAATTGTTGACTAGAATAAAAACATCTACTTATGAACAAAGGCATACTATTTAAAATATGATTTTGTTATCTAATTAGTATACTTTCTTACTGCTTTTCCCCTATGATTTAGTATCAAAACAGTATTTTTATTTGTTAAGAACTACAACAAATTAGTTTCGTTCAATCAGAAACACTGATACACATGGATAAGAAAAAGCAGAAGAAATCAAGCTATCCCCCATCTTCCAAGGTCTCACACACTTACCCCAAGTGCACACTTGAAGCATTCTTTGTCAAATCTGTACACTGGAGAGAGAATCTCAAAGAATTTCAGAATACTTTCTTCTCTATTAAGGTTGGCAAACTGCCTAAATGTTTGCTGGATCAGTTTTCTTAGTGTTTTGGCCTGAATGATGAAGTTACAGAAAAACATGTTTTCAAGTCAACCAAGAGAAAAAACTGCAATCCTACTCATATCATTTACATTACTACATAAACTCACTTGCCAAATAACTAGTAGAACATTATCAGCTGAAAAACCCACATTAATAAACTTTGCCCCAGTTTGAAAGGTATAGTTGATCAACACACAACTTCATTCCTCCAACACAAGCTTAGGGCAACAGTGTGGATATTAACCACATGGCACAGAGTCATTAAACCATTCACCACTGGGACACATAGTCCAGAAGTAGAAAGGGTAAACACACACATAGGGACTCACATGTTCCAATACTATTTCTGAATGTGCACAAATAATTAACTTTAAAAGGCCCTTGTTCTTGGATTTAAAAAGTAAAATTCCAGGACACTACTTTTTTGTAAAGATTCAGCAATGAAGAGGATCTTCAAAACTGTTCATTCAACATATGGAATAATATTACAAACCGTGGTGTGTACTTTAACAACAATATTCTACGAAGCCTATAAACCATATCATAGAACTAGTTGAGGGAAGCTGAAATCCTATCTTGTTATGCAACACAGAAAACAATCCGTATGCACAAAACAGACACTTTTAGAAGAGAGCTCATTTTTAGGCTTCATATGCATGTGTGTGAAATGGAGAAAAAGCACCATTTAGAGTGCTTTACCTTGCATGGACAACCACTAGCTTCTGCTTCTTTTACTCACTGAGTTCTGTCCTCACGCATGAATACCTAGGGATGGAGCAAGGGCTTCCCAGGGAGCAAACCCCTGATCTTCAATGTACGAGAGAGCAGGGAGGCAAGGAAACAGTGACGCCACATGAGGTCTCAGGAGCAAATGTAGGCATGAGCTTAGCTTCTGTGCTGCTAACCCTGATAACCACGAGTGAGTTGGGGTGCTATCTGAAGGAGGTTTGTGGCAGGAGGGTCAATAGCAGGGGGTGGAAGACAGACTCAGGTGGGGATTTCCAAGCTGCAGCTGCGAGGAAACCAGGAGGGCACAGCCTGCTCTAGTGGGAAGACTCTGGAGTCAGGGGAGTCTTGAAGACAATGGCCAGGGCAACTGGAAATGCAGTTACCTGATGAAGGGTGCAGTTATTGCCATGAAAGCCAGTGTGGAAGGCTGAGGATCATGAGCCGAGAGAACAAGGTCACGGGGGACACGTGCTTTCATGCATAAGGGACGGTGAGTGAGAAGCAGCAGAAAACCCACATCTGGTCACACTAGAGCAGGCCAAGCAGGCAATCAACGGAGTGGCGAGAGGATGCTACCGGCATGGCAATGGTGTAAAAGAGAGGCTTATAATGACGTGCATGGACACGCGTAGTTACAGGCACAGCATCTGTCAATCCAGTGGACGAAAGGAAAGAGGAGACAGCCAGGAGTTGACAGCTAGCTAATTTAACAACACTGGAGTTCTGATGGAAGTGAAGCAGAAAGGGAACAAGAAAATTCTAGCTCATTCAAGCAGAACTAGTCCTGGCTTTGGATCAGGCTTGAACTAAAGAGAATTAAACATGTGCAGTGCCAGTAGGGCCCAATTATAACATACACTGCACAGATAATGGTCTCTGAACCTAGGTGTTTGGAAGAGAAAAGTCGTTTGGGGAACACCTACCAAATACTGGCCTCTACTAAGACACTGACAAAGGTCACTTCCTGTCAGACTTAGAAATCAAGTTATCTACCTAAGAGTATTCCTTATGAAATGTTCACAAATGATTATGAATATACAAGAGTATCATTAAGACACACCACCAAGAACTGTTGCTCCTCAGTCATATTAATCTAACAAGTCATTTCTCATTGGTCAGTCTAATGATTATCAGATGCTACTGGCCTCATGGATGACTAGTTTCTCATGTGTATGTTAGGCTAAAGAAAAACTGCTATAAAACAATAAAAGGCTGAAGACCTATTACACAATCACACACTACTGCCCAAGCTCGGTACAGACACATCAGCAGTGCACATGGTACACCGTCTATCTCTAGGGACTGGAGTCAAGGGCAAGTGCCTCCGGCAGAGGTCAGTTTTCACTTACTATATGCTTCCTTGCATAGTTTTGAGACAGTCTTAATATGTGCCTGGGATGGCTTTGAACTTGAGATCCTCCTACCTCTGCCTCACAAGTACCCAGGTCATTGGTGTGAGCCACTATGCTGATGTTAACCCAAGTCTCCTGACAGTGTTCTAGGAAGCCATCTTATTATAGCAATTGAGAACTGACTAGTTCACGATCTCTCAACATTCGTAGTTTAAAACTGGATTTCTGTCATAATACAGAAATACACTAAGGTTTGATTGTTTTGACTGGCAATCTAGGTTTAGGTCTACTGTAGAGCTGTTAAGATGGTAGGCAGAATTTCCTCAGTTCTGCCTCTTGTACAGTCAAGAAGCAAATGTCACTTTGACAATTCACTGAACCTGACTTGACATAGAACTCACCAGTATCCATTACCTGTCCCCCTCCTATTCAGACCAGATACATATTCATGTTGTTAGTTTTCTCAACTGAGAGCCTGCTGGCCTATTCATGACTCGTGACCTTGACACCTTTGAGGAGGAAGGGTAAGAATTGCAGAGCAACCCTGATCTTTATTAGTGTTACCGGAGTAGTGATTTTAATCAAGCATTAAAATGTAAGGCACCTCGCCTGTTATTTATTCTCAGCACTCAAGGAATGTGTAGTCTGTTCTCTGTTCTTGGGACCATCACAGGTCAAGCTCTACCAGGATATGATAATCTCTCAACCATTCATTGGGAATATAACTACAAACAATCTTCTAGAAACTGAAATCTAAGGCATGTAAAACAAAATGACTTTGAGGGGTGAAAAATACAGAAATAGCTTGTTTATGGAAAAACTAACATAATAAATCTAGCCACTCAATATGGCTAACTCCAGAATAAACAGAGGCTCAGGTGTGTATTTCTTTTTGGGGGTGTTTCTGAAGGTGGGAATGGCTACAGCTACTATGTGTAATAGGGCTTTACAGAAGCACAACACTCTAGAGAAGTCTGTTGGAGGTGTCAAGGGAATTTATGTAGCATGGGGAGAGAGCTTGGCCTAAGGCTATAATCTCTCCTGATTAAGGTATTTAAGAAATCAAACAATATTTAAATTTAAAAATTAAGTAATTCCCTTTCCAATAAAAGATGTATAAGATGTTTCAGTCGGTAAAGGTACACACTGTGCTGGCCAGTTTTATGTCAACTTGACACAAGCTAAGTCATCTGAGAGAAGAAATCTCAACTATAAAACATGCCTAAAATTGGTCAGGCTCTGGGCAAGCCTATCAAACCTCTTTTTAATCAGTGATTGATGTAGTAAGACCCAGCCCACTTGGATATCACCACCCTGGGCTAGATTCTGTGAGAAAGCAGGCTGAGCAAGCCATGAGGAACAAAGCAAGGAAGCAGCATCCTCCATGGCCTCTGCATCAATCAGCTCCTGCTTCCAGGATCCCTCCCAGTTTGAGTTGCTGCCTTGGCTTTCCTCAGTGGACTGTATCAGACTCCGTAAGCCATGTAAACCTCTTCCTTCCCAAGTTGCTTGCTTTTTGGTCATGGTGTTTCATCACAACGACTCTAAGACATCAACAAGCCTGACAACAACTTGAATTTGATGCCTATGTCTCATATGGAAAAAAGGAGAGCCAATCCCACAAGTTTTATTGTGGTTTCCATATATACTCAACACACTGCCAGATGTAGCTCAAGATCCCAGAGAAAAGCATGCTGATAGCTCAGGACAAAAGAGGCCAAGAAAGGGGAGCTGGAAAAGGTCTGCAAAGTGTGGCAGCAGAGAGCTGGTACTCCTGGGGTGGCATGCAATCTTCTCAGGGTTATACTTAACCCTGTGTGCCTGCCCTCCCTCCCTCTCTGGATTCTCTTTTGTTTTGTTTGGGGGGGGGGATGTTTTTCAAATTTCTGCTCATGTTTCATTCTTTCATTTAAATAAGAGCTATCAAATTAGCTATATATCTGGTCCTAACCACTCACTGTCATTTGAGAATCACTGTTACGTGAAACACAGCCTTAAGCGAATACTTGCTAGAACATCTTCAATAGCAATGTCAAGTTGTAAGCGCTATGGCTTACCCTGTTTCAGTGTCTCCACAGTCTTCCTATTCCTGGGCTGTCTCAGGATGGGTAGGGGGACCTCTGCCCCATGCCTCTGTGGCCTTCACACTCAACAATCCAGATAAACGAAGGCTCTTCCTAATCCAGGAGACTACCAACACTCTCAAGAAACACAAATGCCATTTTCCAACTCCTTTACATAAAGTTGCCAATCTTGATTTAAAGTTCTATCCTCCATCTGCCAAATACACAACAACTTTTAGAGAGGACAGTGTCCCAGCCTCTGCCACACTTATATGAGTGGGCTCTGTAACAGACAGAGAGGAACTGGAAAGAGCTGGATTCTCAACAACCTGTTCCGGTGCTTTGCTAATAGAGCAGAAACTCAATGAAAAAATTAAAAGTACAACAGCATCCTCACACAAAGTTCCAAATACTACAAGGGCACACTTTCTTATCGCTCCCATTAAGACTTGCTACACTTTGCAGAACCCTCTGTATTTATTTTCTGTGTGGTATCACACAGAAGATATGTGTAGAAGGAAGCATGCTATCAATCCCCAGAAAGGGGGAGGAGGACAGACCTTAAGGTACCCGTGATGGGCCTGAAAGTGGGCAGCACCCAGGTATAGACAGACACAAGCCTTTGTCACAGACTACACTGGACAAAACAGCACCAACACTGTGACCTGCCAGCCCAACGACCAGCACTGACCACATTCAGAGAACAGAGTCCAGTTCTTCTGGCAAAAAGCTTGTGCCAGGGAGTGCAGTCACACACCAAGACACTTCACCATGCTTGGTAGCAGGGTGCTACCACTCCTTGGATGCTAGACACACCTGCAGAGCTCATCTCAGAGTGCACAGACTGACTGACTGACTCTTCCTACAGACATGATGTGTCAGAAGCTGGTTTTATGTTACAGATATGAAAACTGAGAAAGATTCAGTCATTTATCCAAAAGTCATGGGTGGTTTACACTGAAGCCAGGGCTCTTATGTGGCAGTTTAGCTGTGGGGCCAATTTTCTAAGTCATAATTTGACATTATTTCATATGCATGCTTTTGCCTGTGTGTGCCTCAGATAAGAGGATGTAAAAAAATTTTTTTTAAACAATAAAAAGTAACAGCAATAAGAGCTATTGTTTATGAATTGCTACCTGACAGGTATTGTTTGATATATGTGTTACACATTAACACCATCCCTATATAACACTATTTCCTGTGGAAATAAGAGGTCATGCCCCATACTGTAAGGCTGGTGAATGGAACCCTTCTTGGACCAAACTGTGTTTTCCTACTATAACTGGATGTTTGGGGATAGGCTCTGGATTGTATAAGAAACAGGACTCACAGCTCCTCTCTCTGCCTTCAATAATAGTCTTGCTGGAGTAGGACTACATGGAAGCTATTTCAAAGTTACCATCAGGAAAATCACATGGTAGGAAACAGAGATGGACCATTAGAATGTGCACGTGTAGAGTACAATGATGTAAATTGTGCACACAGAAGACAGTGACACAGACAGTGACAGACAACGTAGAAGTATAAACATACGTCACGCCCAGTGATACATACACACATAAAACCCAATGTGTACTCACGGGTATCCATCCCATAGAAATCAGTGATATATGCATTCTCCCCCTCCCTCCCTCTTTATAACACCCCCCCTATAGGACTCAGTGATGTGCGGGCAAGCATGTGCACACACACTGTCACTCACAGAGGACCCAGTAATGTGTGCATGCACACAGACACAGGATGCAGTGATACACAGGGACCCAACAATGTAAATGCATGCAAACACAGTGCTCGTGATTCACCATGATCCTTTAAGACAGTATTCCTTTTCTTCCATGTATCAAAACATTCCAGACTTTAAGAACCTTGGCTACTGGACTGCAGCACAAACCATTTCTAGTTTTGTACTTAGGTGGTTACTACTCACAATCATCAAGTAAGGCCGTGGTTCTATGCAGAAAGGTTAAACCTGTGAAAATTTACTTGCCTAAAGTTAACATGACTCATACAATCAGCTTTTGCCATTACAGTTTTACCAGGTAAGGGGGAAATGCACCATTACTCTTTTTCAAAGGCAAGTTTTCAGTAGGAAAGGGATACAGGCAGAGCTTCATATTTGATTATGATAAAGGAGACTCTAATTACCTTGACAGAATCCAGTAAACTCTTAGGAAAAAATCTCTTTAAACCAACATCTTTTCTGAAATATAAAAAGAGGCATATTAACAAATGTTAACAAATAATAACATACTTGAAAGAACACAAAAGTAGTTTATTCTTCTATTTGTTCAGGAAAGAACCAACTATAATCAAGCTCTAACTGACCTGCATACTCATGGGCGAGGATAAACTATTTGTAGCTATGCACAAAACAAAACAACAAAAAACATGATAACACTCTATTTCGATGGAAATCTTTGTTGGTTACTCCTATTATTATTGAAGTCCCTTCTGAAATACTGACACTTTGCAAATGGCAGCATGTAATAAAACTGTTCTCTCTTGGGTGCTGCATAGAAGTAATTCTTAGACACATCAGTTCCTCCATGTAACTATATTTTAGAGAAACCACCTGGACTAATTAAGACAGAAACTACCGAAACATGATTCAAGAATGGAGTTGTACAAAGAGAATTCTGAGTGCCTGTGAAAAAACTCCAAGCAAACGAGTCTTGTGACCTTGGTTTCCTCAAAAGTAGGCAACTGCTCTTGGAAAGTGCTTTTGTGTCCTTCCCAAGTGTAGCAGATATGACAGGTGTTAAGTTTAGGAACACTAATTTTATTTGTTTATGTGTCTTTATGGAAAAACATGCCATTCCATTTGCACCTTGTCCGCCATGTGAACTGTCTGCCACATATATCTTATCCTTGTGATTGATCACCTTACTCACGAGACTCTTAACCCTCAGAGTATAAATTGTCTGATGCTCTAAATTAAGTTGGCTATTGCATGAGACTTTAGTCCACCTCATTGTAGACTCACACTGCACCTAGAGCAATGAACAACAGACCCTTCAATTTTACCCAAAACGATGATTCCTTCTTCTCCTTGACTGTATTAAATAAATTTAGGAAGCCATCTGCTAACCGCATTTCATCTTCTCTATTTCACAAAACGAGTGGAAGGGGATGGGGGGATCAAGTGATTTGTCCTGGTTCAAAAGCTAAGTGTGTAGAAATGCTATAAATTCCAGCAATTTGCTAAGCGGGGTATAAACTCAGGCCTTCCATTATTATTAAAAACCTAAGAACACTTGGTCAAGAAACGGACTGGAAGGAACAGTTGGACTTGCTTTTGAAATTTACCATCTGCTCTGGGTACTGAACTACCAGTTTGTCCACTAGATGGCACTGTGTTCCAGGAAGATAAACTGTACATTTGAAGACAAGGGGTCAGGAAAGACTAGAGAATCAGAAAGGAATCAAGGAGGAAAATGCACCTCAGGTAATATACAGGTATCTTTTTCAGAGTCACGGGGTGTGGTGTGTGTGTAATAACTGAATGATGAAGTATAAACAAAAATGAGTTGTTTCACAATCACTTTATAATCAACACTGCAGGAACCATGTTAGATTGTAGGATGACCCTCCATTCAATCGATGGACTCCTCGCTAGCCCATTTACTACACTGAGAAGTCACTCCCTGCTCTGATCTCCTGGTTTGCTCTACCCTGACGCATGGCTTCTCTCTGGCCACGTGGGGTCTTCTTTCACCTTCCAGCACGGTGTCTAATCTGATTAGTGGCCCTGAAAGGAAAACCATCTACCCAAGCCTCCCCTCACTTGTTTGCCCCTTAAAAAGCAGAGGCTCTTCTCATATGAAGACCTCAGACACTAAAGCTCAACCCCACGACCACTGGCACACTCCAGGACCTCTGATACTTGTAAAGGAGGAAATACGTGTTGCGGATAAAAACAAATGTGGTGTGACCTTGAAGGCATTCCTACCCATAAGCCCTGCGCATCACGAGGAGCTCTGGGTCTGATCTCACTGCTGCCGGGCACCCTGCTGTAAGGTAGTTATGTGAATGCGTCCATTAAGGCTCTGAAAGGCATATTCTGGAAGGCCTTCTGGTCAGGAGAGCTTTGGGCCCTAGTGTACCTGTTGGTGAAGGGGTGACTGGCTCCAGAGCAGGCTAGACTTGCTGAGAAGTGCTATGATCCAAGAGACTCTGGCACAGTGAATTATCTGGATAGGTGAGAAGTGCATGGGAGAGTATGCTGATGCAGGCAGGGCAGATGGTGGGTCCCGCCCTCCGAGCGAGGCAACTGGCTACCCCCAGCTAGAGGGGTGAGAAAAACGGTCTCCAGTGAGTTACATATCGATGTTCCTCAGAGACAGGGAGGTAAGAACTCATCAAAATTAAAGAGGAGTAAGCAGGGATGTATGCCTCAAGAAAAACTTGAGAGTACTTTTTGTGTAAAAATAATCAGTTAATAAGTTGCTTTTTATTCCCAAGGTAAAGACAACTCCACTATTTGCTTAAATATCACTGTGTACACATATGTCTGTGTGTGTGTGTGCATGTGAGTGTGTTCTCGAGCGTGTGCAAGATGAACCTGCAGTTCTCTCCTCCCACCAGGTGCTTGGTGGCAAGGCGCCTTCCCCACACCACCACCCTCTGTAAATTTTGAAGCATACCCACAATGCTTTTTTTTTTTTTTTTTTTTTTTTTGTCCAACTAGTTTTGAATTTGTAATACTTATTTGTATGTTAGAACTCAGTTAAATATTTGGCAATAAAATAAAAAAATGAGTTGGGCGGTGGTAGTGAACACCTTTAATCCTGGCACTGGGGAAGCAGAGGCAGGTAGATCTCTGAGAGCCTGATGCCAGCCTGGTCTACAGAGCGAGTTCAGGACATCCAGGGTTACACGGAGAAATTCTGCCCCAATAAATAAATAAATGAACAAACAAATAAAATAAAAATAAAAACAAGCCTAAAAACTAGCAGGGGAAAAAACCTCAACAGCACTTCTTCTGGCATACTTTAGTTGCCAAGCTAGCCTGTGGTCTGCAGCTCCCCGGTCCGAGAAGCACCAAAGGCAGAGAGAGACTATCACAGCTATCTACATCAACGTCCTGTCATAAAACCTGGCAGTGTTGTGTATACCATCCACCCTCACTAGGCAGCCAGCTCTCTCTGAGCTGTGTTTGGCCCTGCTCTGCATCAGCTTCACTTCATGCTTATGCCCAAACCCCATACAATTGTCCCACATGTAAACAAACATACACAACATAAACACAACCATTAGCTTTTACTGTAACTCAACTATCTTAGTAGCTACTAAAATGTGTATACTGAAGGCATTTAAACCCACCGGATTGAAAAGCAAAACCACAGTAACAAAATAAACAAAAAACCTAACTCAAAGGACAGTTTGAGGACACTGGCTGAATTCCAATCCCCTAGGCCAGGCACTACGTAGGCCATTCGGCTCCTCCTTTACTTCAATGTAACTGGAGGACACACAGAGACGACAGGCCAAAAATATCAGGTTAGATAGAGTGAGGCTGCTCAACACTGCAGCACATGGCTACATGTACATTAGCAAACTACAAGTTCTGTCCCTGGTTTTAGCAGCTCCGTTTCCAGAGCTCAAGAGTCCCACATATGAATAATGCCTACTGAGTGGACAGGGCAGCGCAGACCCAGAATGTTTCCGCCACTCTAAGCAGAGAGTGCAAAGGCATATATATGGCTGTGTGAAAGTGGTGACTGCAGAATTTTCAGCAACCTTCCTGTCCTGTGCACCTCAAGGCTTCTCAGTTAGGGCAAAGATGAGTAAGAATGATACTGGGCATGGAGACAGTTACCATGGGGACAACCACCTCACTGCCAGAGTTCCTCAAATAGGAGAGCGGGCATAGAGGGGTGGAGAGCTGACACAGCATCAAGACAGAGAGAGCCCACATTAGAACTTTTCCTAGAAGCCCTCACAAGTGTTTGGCTCTGGAAGCAAAAACAGTTCCTGTGGCCTGTGCTCTACATTCACATTATTCCCACTGAAGCCACAGGGGCCTGTGCTCACCTGCTTTCTCCCGGCAGAGGCCTCATTTCAGTTGCTCGTCTTTCTTCAAGATTTCTTGGTTTGTCTGCCTGCCTGCCCTCGTTCCTTCCTTAAGAGAGTCTTCTTACACAGCTAAGGCTCGTGTCACATTCATAATCCTTCTTCCTAGGCCTTCCAAGTGCTTGGAAGAGAGCTGTGTGCCTGGCTTAACACTTTTTCTTGCCCTAGGTAAATACTAAGATAAACAACTAACCTGTTACAGTGTTAAAAAGTCCTAAAAGCTAGCATTGCTCCAACAACCAACTTAGCACTTGGGGTCTTCAGCCAGTGAGACTTCCTCCACAGCTATCTCAGCACCTCACTGTGCATTCAGACAGACTAAACTGATGCTATTCTCTCTGCGCCTGCCAAGCTTGCAGCCCTCACCTCCGCATTAACTGCCCTGCCATTCAGCAGGTGAGCTGTAGCCCCTACCTCATCAGTTCAATACCTGGCCTGCCTATTAACACCACACTGGCACCCAGGATGAAACAGGCAGGAGAGCAGTGTGTGCAGCAGGAAGATTCCTCTCCATGCACATGTGCTCGCAATGCACCAGACTTGCAGAGCTGTTTGAAGCCTGAGGTCTCATTCTGCACATGTGTTCATGTTCACAAACCACAGCACAGCACACCTTTGGTAACCTCATTTTAGACTAAGCATGGAACTAAATGAATCTTATGCCCATGTAAAACCCACTCCTCTTTCAGCAGTGTTTCTGAGAAGACTGCCCTGTCTAGTTACCTCAACGCTTGTGCAGTATTGAGTGTCCCACACCCCAAGCCCTTATCTCAGCTAACTGTAAGTCACAAAACTAGTCAAGGAATACAGAAGACCTAGTAAGAGTCAGGTGCTCTGTTAAGTATAAGGAACACAGGGGAAAGAGACAACAAAAATAGCAAGCCAAAATACACTACATGCAAAGATGGTTAAAATGCAGGGGAAGAGACATTTGTGTTCCTCAGTGGTGCAGCCACTGGGAAGAGGCCCAAGTTCTGCCTGTAAATAACTCGTTACCCAAGCACTTTTAAGTATTCCTGACTGGTTAAATCCTCCCTCTCCTCAAAAACAAGAGAGAGAAGTTGAGGTTGCAATTGGTAGGAGTCTGCCCTCAGCAACGCCACATCAGAAACCTACATTTTAATAGTG